TAGTTCCTGGTCTTGGAAACTGCTGTGGCTAATAGGTCTTGATATTCCTGTTGCTATTACATTTTAATACCTGGTCTCCAACTTATTGTGACCCTATGAATGAATGTCCTCCAAAATGTCCTGTCCGTGGCAGCATTCTGTGGATTTATCTAATTCATTTTTACAACCATCTATGCTGTGCTTTCGTGGGCTTCTGGACAAGACACCATTGTCACTCTGCCAACCTAGCTTCACCCCCCACAAAGAGAACTCGCTGCCTTCTTCCCCACAGGTGATCTGCACTACAATAATGGCTTCATTTCAGAATTCCATCCTGACACCTTGTTCTCACAACACCCCTGAAAGTGAAACAAATGTATTATGTAGGAACTGCTATAGTCAGATTTTGCTTTGCTCTTGTTTTTTAATTTAAGGAACAAAAATATCACCACCACCATGTCCATCAATGGCACAGTCGAACATTCATCTGGAGGTGAGGAGGAGCAACTGTTTCATTAATGAGGAACCAATTCCGTAAGGGCACAGTCTAGTCCGATGCCTGCAGCCTTCCAAACTAAAAGACCGTGGTCACCCTGTGCAGAGTGGGAGGAGCATGGAGGCAAAGGTCACCTCTGTATCCCCCCACCCTGCAAAATGTGTGGACTCTGCTGACTAAGTGTCACCTCTCAGAGCACGCAGGAAGGAACCTAAGACAGTGCCCGGATGCCTCACATTGTGACAGCAGCTTCTCCTCCCTACGAATTCCCACTCAACACTTTCTCAGAGTTTGCATTCATGACCTTGGAGAGGCAGCTGCTGTGGTTCTTCCACGCTAGCTGTGAGGTGGTGGGAGGCCCACCTCCAACCTTGGAACACGTTTCTGAGGTCAGAGCTGGCACTCTGCATAACAGTGGCCATGTAGATGCTGTTTAGTAGCCATGGCATTGCATTGTAAGAAATGTTTGTTGGCAGTGTGACGCAAGGCTTGTGCGTATTAGCATGAGCTATCTAGTGGGCATGCTCTCCATCCTAAGCAGGATTTGGACATATGAGCAATTCAGTTTTAATGTTAATATAGTCAAGGCAAACATCAGAGCAGATGTAAATTTTACCATGACTTGTGTGGACATATTTAAATGCAATACATAAACGCATAATTCGGGGGTTTAAAAATTATTTTTAATGGACTGCAAGCTATCCTGGAAGATGTAAAACTGAAGCTAGAAAAACACAGATTTTACATAAATAAATCCAAATGCCAGTTTTATGGCATATTATAGTGTAAATCAGCACTACACTTTTATGATTTTGTTTATTTTTTTAAAAAACATTACTGGATTGTAAATTGGAGGTATGGTGCAGGGCTTTCCTCCCCTTTTAAAATGGGAGGGCACAGACCTCATGGAAGTGGTGGACAAGAAGCAACAGAGAAAACTGGAAAGCTGGAAAGCAAGAGGATTTCCAGCACAGGAAATTCTTCCCTGTCTCCATCCATGTTAAGTTGTTATGGGCCTCTGTTAGTCTCATCTTTTCAGTGCAAAACGTTTTTTAAACTTTTTTACAAAATGTTGGGTCTGTGTAGTCAAATGTCTTAGAGGGTTTTTCCATATCTGGCAAAGGTAGGCAAGAAATACACTGCACAAAAAGTTCATGAAGAGGTACCCTTTGTAGTACAACACAAGGGAATTTGGTAGGTTCTATAGCAGATCATATGACCAGAGAAGGTGATGCAGTGTTGCATTTGTTAACATTTTGGACACATTGCAAGACTTGCCCTTTTTTCTCTAGGAGAATGTAGGTATTTCGAGTTGATGAGGGGTAACACAATTCTTTATCCAATACTTTATGAACAAGTTATTTTAACCCAGTCCTTTTTCTTGGTTCACTGCATAGATAAGATAATCTGAACTTTAGATCATGAATGTATGGAATAGCTACCATCAGCTAGTAAAATTCTGCTGAATGAGAGAAAAAAAGCATTTCTGGAACTATTAAACTTATATTTAAGACCTCACTGTTCAGTAAGGACCATATTTAACCTGCACTGAAAATAAGAGAAAGGCTAAACTAAAAAAAATATATAAGTGAGTTAAAGAGTTGTGGAAAGCTATATACTGATCACAAACCTTAGGGAGAGGGTATGCATGTTGGGGCCCTGTAAATGAAGAGTAACACGGGTGTGCAATGTGGCAACACTGCATGCATGACAGATGAAATCAGTCCTTGCCATGGTTGGGAAAATATCAACTGCTACATGACAAGGATGACAAGGGAAACCAACAGCTTCGCAAAAGCCATGATTGCTGGGTTTCTTGGAAGTGGCAGATAATGGTAGGTATAGGCCATGCCTTATTTTCTGCATTGTATAGGTCCAGAATCAGTCAAAACAGACCCTCCATCAACTCTTTACTCCAACCAAGGCAATGCCCCACATCAGGTTGGTTCCCTGAAATCCAGAGTTCAGGTTAAAACACACACGTGTGCGTGCATGTACTCACTAATGGCAACCACTGCTGGATCTCAGAGTCAAGGTCAAGGTAAGATATAGAGAGGTGTAGTAGAGCTCAAACACAGCAGAGGGGCTTTACCGTGACTGTGAATCCTTGGGCCCAAAAATTGGAACTATAAATACATCGTGACCAGGATACCTAAAGGAACGCCTTTTTCCCTATTTGCCCTCCCACCCCCTGAGATTGGCAAAAGAAGCCGTCCTCCTGGAACCCTCTGTAAAAGACGTTAGGAGACAGAGTAACCGGAGAAGGGCCTTCTCTGCGGTGGTGCCCCAACTGTGGAATGCGCTCCCCAGAGAGGTCCACCTGGCGCCGTCATTATATGTTTTTCGGCACCAGGTCAAGACTTTTTTATTTAATCAATATTTTAATATGTTTTAATACTGAATTTTATTGTTGTATTTTATTAATTTGCAGCCAGAGTGGATGGTCACTTTATGTTGTAAGCTGTCCAGAGACACAAGTAATTGGATGGCATACAAATTTTATAAATAAATAAATTTTGACTGTGAAACGTTTCTGCAACACAGGACTGAATTTGAGGCAGGGATTGAGAGAGGTGCTGCCCCAGCGAATCAAACAGAAAGCCTTTTTTCATAGATTCTTTTAACTTCTTTCCGGTTGTTCAATGAAATCGACTCTGCCCATCTGCTTTGGAGTCTTGCCTGATTTGCTTGTGCTCTCCCTCCACCCCCTTCTCTCCTTCCCTTGGTTTTGAAAACTATCTGTTCCACTTGAGGACAGGAGAGTTGCATCAATGCAATTCAGCCCTAGCTTTCAGACTAGATTATTGTTGGACCAAAGTGAGCTATCATGAAGGTTCAGCCAGCATAGAGTATATTTAGTAGTGGCACATAACAGCCTTATAACCAGGGCCCTGTTTTCTTGTTTAAAATTCTTTGTGTCATGGAGGGAAGAAGAAAGGTCAAATGCCAGAAAGCTTGTAGATGTATAAGTGAGGAGCTTATAGAAGGAAAAAGGAGACAGCACTTTATACTTGCGTTCCTATCCATAACTTTACAAGCTTCTCATTTTGGTATGGTTAGGAGTTTCCTATCAGATTCTGTGAATAGGAATGAGGCAATACCTAGCCAAAGGCTTGAACATGACAAAGGAATGCTGATAGCCCAGGGCATTTGGCTAAGGAGCTAGTCTGACAATTCTCAGAGACTTCTAAAGGCTTAGGAAATACCTGATGGGAAGCAGTGGCTTTCTTCCCTCACTTAGATTTCTAACTAAAGATGATGGAGTCTAGGGGCAGTATCCAGTGCTGTCTGTGCACTGGTGGGACTCATGGCTGGCACTTCCTGAAGCACCCAGAAATGAGCTCAGAGGCTGGAAAGGGGCATTCCAGCCTAGGTTGCAGAAGGGAGCTATCCTGCTTCAGAAACTAACATTGCACCACATTTCCAGAGTTTCTTTTGAAAGGCCTCGCTTTCTGTTACACTAGTGGCGAGTCGTGCAGGTGCAACAGAGCAGGCAGAGACATGGATACTGCCCTGCCCTGGGTGTGCGAAATGAAACAGTGCAAACTGCAGCTTGAATTAGATGAACTAACTCAGAGCTTGGTTTTGTGGGGGGGGGGGGGGGGTGGGGGTATGGTAACAGTATTTGGGGGTACTGGCACTCTCTCTCCAGAGATCTGATGTGGGACAGTGGATCTGGCTGCTTGTTGGAGCATTTAAGCTTTGCCTCCACCACTGCTTGGCCTGTATATTTGCAAAACTCCCACAAGTACTAGACTTTTCTTCCACAGAAACAAACCCAGGTAATGTTGTGCCTCTGGAATTTCTCACCACTTGCAGAGGTTGAGAGAGCGTAACGGCATGTTATGTATCATTGCTTGAATCTGACGCTACAATTTCTTAGCCAAGTGTTTGAATGTGCACCACCTTTTGAAGAGCAGGTGCTTGTTCAAGCTTAGAATATCAATGTGCTTTTTTCAAAACTGGCTTCTCAGGGAGATGATCCGAGCTTGGCTACTGTGTTTGTATTCCTGGTGTGGTCAGTTTGGTTGAACTTTGAGGTTCTGGCAGTCTGAAACTGCTAGGTTTGGGATCAACATTGGACATAGAAAAAGTACATCTAGCCATGAAAAAAAATAAACCAAAGCTTTCCTGGAGACTAGTCAGCTTCTCCCAGTTTCTCATTTTATGATTATAAACAGATGCAAGAGATTTTCAGTGTACAGATAACGAAAATGCAGGTCATCCTTTTATCCTTCCTTTCAATTAGTTGGGACAATCAACATGAAGGGTCACTTTCTAGAGAGCTCTCCATTGCACCATATTGCAGATCCTATTGTGACAAAGAGTCATTTGGAATTTTGACACATTGGAGTCTTCCATGGATTAAGAGATTCTCCTCCACTCCCCTCCCCTCCACATATGGAAACAAAGCATATGTAACAGTCTGGAGTGGGTGCCTTATTTATAAGCATTCAGAATCTTAGATTTTCTGAAAAACATAGAAATGAATATATTTTCTGGGTTTTTTTTCTTAACTTGACAGGTTGATCCAGCTTTGGAAGAAAGAATAAGAAATAATAAAGTGACTCTGGAATCAGAATATGAGGTATGGTTCACTGCATATACTGGTGCTACTGAGTTTTCTTTCTACCCTGCCCTAGTGATAATACGGTGTTTTCTACCCATAACTAAAATTAAATAAGCTGTGGCTTTGATTTCAAGGCCGTCCAGTAAAAGCCGGGTGCTTTATTTACTTTGGTCAAATCAGGCTTTTGAAAGTTCAAAGCCTTGTAGTGCACACCCCTTCTTTGATGTCCATCTGCCAAATGCAGCACTGCAAATGCCATTTTTACTGTTCCTGTGGGTAGTCTATAAAAGAAATGCAGGTCTGACTGGAATGAGCATATGTCTCCATTTATATTCCTAACCGTATGATGGAATCCATGTGGCTAATTGCAAAACCATATGATTGCTTTAGTGGCACTGGCTATTAATTTAACAGCCTCTTGTAACTTTTGGGGTTTTCTGGCTCTATTTGAGTGTCAACATGAACATAATACCCTTTGCAGAAAAAATATTTTTCATTTACTTAGGAAATAACATGAGATTTTGCAAAATACACATTTCCAGCTGATTACTAACCTCTAGGTCTCATCCCCATCAGGACAGAAGAGGTCTCCATTGTCTTTTCTGTACTTGGATAGTAAGAACATAGTAAGAGTCGTGCTTGATCCGATCAAAGGCTTGTCCTTCCTAAGGGAAGCCCACAAACAGCACCTGAGTTGAACAGCACCCGCCTGCTCATTCTCCCCAGCCTGTTCATTTGCCTGATCTCCTTTTAAAGCTATTCAGGTTAGAATCTTGTGATGAGAAATTCCATGTTAAATATGTGCCACACTGAATAGCACTACCTTTGTCTGTCCAGACTCTCCTACCATTCAGCTTCATTGGATGACCCCTGGCTTTACTGCTGGAGGAGGATAAAAGCCTATCCCTGTCCATTTTCTCCACATCATTCATAATTTTTTAGTCTTCTCTCTCCTTCCCCCCACAAATGCTTGTTTGAGTAGGTTCAGAGCCAGACCACAAGGAAGGCCAAAGACAGACTAGTGCTGATGCAATGCTCTCTTCTGGTTTCACATGCATTTATTTGCTTCAATTTTTGCTATTTACTCACAGATCAGAGGGGGAAAAATTATCACTACAATTTTGATTAAACCAATTAATTCTGGGACATTACTATGCTTAAAATATATTTCATTCAGAACCATTAATTACTATTTCATAAGTGGAATGAAAATGCTTTCTAAAATCCATAAATTAAAAATGCTTTATCTGTTTTCCTTTTTGGCAATCCCTTGTTGGCATTGCAGCTCTGCTTTGAAGGTACTATCATGTAACAAAAAGAAAAGTCGCCCATTTAAATCTTGACCCCCAACTCATCCTGGAATTGTTTGCATACTTAGATACGCAGGTTTTAATAGTCTCTTAAGGGAAATATTTAAATTACCATAAATGTATTGACTCTGATGGGAAAATCAAAAGTATTAACTTAAAAAAAGTATTAGGAAAATATTACATGTTCACTCAGAATATGCTTGAGAGGACAGTACCTGATGGAAAAGTGGCTGTAGGATTTCTATGCTTTCCTTGGCCCATTGAGTGAAAATTCAAATATTTCTCAAAGCAGAAGGAAATTCAGATTTTTATAGCTTGGAAAGTGCCTCATAACAAACATTCAATTAAAACAAAGGTAGGCATCTTTTGGAGGTTGTGGTCACATCTAGAAATTTGAGACCCTATCCTGGGCACCATCACAAAATAGCTGCCATGGCAGGTGTAGCAAAGGACAAGTGACCTGACCAAAGGACTGAGTACAAGACATGAGCCCCCTCACACTAAATAACTAAACACTAAATAACTTCCTGAACTCACAGCTTTCTGCACCAGCAGAAACCCATTTCACAGCAATCCCAGCATCCTGTAAGAAAATGTGTTGCTTTGTTTCTTTAAAGTCAGAGGAGTGGGGCACCTTGGTGAACTTCAAGAAAGGTGTGCATTGGTGCCCATGGGCACCACCTTGCCTATTCCTGAGCTAAATAAGTCAAGTTCTAAATCAACAAGGTGTTCCACCTGTTTAATGCTGTGCATGCACTTACAATGAACCATTAAACACTTCATTTGCAATGTCTGCTGCTACTGTTACTACTACTACTTCTCTTGCCTTAGTAAAGGAGTTTTCTTTTAAGTGCTCTCCTTTCACCTTTTTAGAGTCTCAATCTTGCCAAAGGCTGAAGGAGTTTTTTGGAAAAATTACAGGTTTTTAGTTGAAAAGAAATGTGCCTTAGGTGTGTCCCAAAATAACTGCAGTGCTTCCATACAATCTAGAAACCTTAATTTTGATATATGTATAGTTCAACTTGTTCTGATCATGTAAGTGGGCAATTTTGCAACTAACGGTCAAAACTCAGGGTGTGATATTTTCTGCATAATGGATGTCAATATAGCCCATCATCTGCTCAGAGCACTAGTGGCAGCAGGAACACCTGATGGGCTGGAGAGAGGTTTCTGGAGAAGATCAATCCACCCTTTGCTGTTGGCATCACCACCTGTAGGGATTAGGCCTTCTTCTCATACCAAAGAGCCTTCAAAGGTTGTAGCCTCAGATTCAGAACTGGAACTAAAAGACATCGGATTAGAATGCTTAACTGGAATGCCAAGGCCAACCAACCCAGAGATAAAACAGGCAGCCAAGGAGAACCAGAAAGAGTCAAGTTTCATGGGAAACTTGGTTGAGCATTCAGAGATGGATGGGCTGGACAAAACATCATCAGTCCAATTGTACGGCATCAGGCAGACAAATTGAAAAGCATCATATATTTTTGGCAATTGGCCCATAAGCAGCAAGAACCACTCAAAGTGGAGATGGCTCCTTTAGGTTAGTGGGGAAGGAGAGGCATTCCATTTAGAATAAACTTCATGCCATTAAGCTGCATTTTGTGAAGAGCCAGTATTCTATTGTGTTTATGTTATTGACTCCTACAATATTCTTCTTTTGGCTCACAAAAGCAGCCTAGCTGGTCAGCTTTTGCAAAATAAAGGCTTTAATTAGATGGTCTTTGTTTCGGGGTACCTTTCAGGGAAGCAGGTTCACAAGCCACATGATGCTGCCATCTGACACATGTAACAGTACCTGGCAAACTGCTGTTAGGAGGGCAATATTGTCTGCCTGTAAGTATGATTTAATTATTTGGAGCCACTCCAAAAACCACCAGAAAAAGTGGATCCAGATGTTGTCCAATGACTGAGGTAAGCTATACATGGGGAAAATGTCATGTTGGGCTGTGGTAGCCTTCACCAACCTAATGCTGTCTGTCTAGGTTGGGCTTCAACTCCCATCAGCTTCAGCCAGCCCTAGCCCATGGCAAAGAATACTGAGAGCTGTAGTCCAAAACATCTGGGAAGCACCAGAAGGAGAAGGCTTGGCTATGGGGATTCCATTCCCCTTAGCACACTCAAATCAGACCTTGACAGATGGAGGGGAGATTTGCAAAATGCTTGGGTGGCTCATCTTTTGTCTTCTTTCAGCGTACAAGTAAATTGTACTTTTAAGGTGCTGTAAAACAGAAATGAAATTATTAGTTTCACTCTCATTGCCACTGAAGGAGAAGATTGGTGGCCTCTGAAGGAGAAAGATAAAGGGTTAAGAGTAGTAGCAAATTCCCATCTGTTACATAAAACTTTTATAGAGTCTGCACTTTGGTCAAAGAATTGTACAGTAGAAAGGAGTCTTGCAGTCCAGGGACTTGTTCCACAGTGAGAACCTTACTGCAAATTGAACTGGGTAGTTTACATCTTTTACACATGCCCACACACAATTAATTTGGAAGTGGTGAACCTCTTTCATTCTTACTTCTGAAGTGATGCTAAGACAAAAAGCAAACGTCTTCATATTTTAAAAAATGCCAAACAAATCTCTTCCTACCTTGATATTATGAAGGGTGTATGAATTCATAACAGAATGTTTACAGTGTCCACACTCCTAGGAGAAAGAGTTAAAATTCTAATGTCTGTAATACTGATGCAACTTCAGGACAGAGAAAAGTGACCCTCATTTCTTTACTTGTAATTGATAAATGCAAAATGCCCTTTATAGTTACCCTTTATATGAGCTTCAGGGTGGGCTTATTCTTCTGTATCTGTGCCTATCTCTAATGGTAATGGCACTCAGCCCCTCCTTTCTAAGTGCATGCTAATTGTTATCCATTATCTCATTAGAATGTTAGAAGCTTAAATCCCCATCTTTTTTGCTTTTGAAGTGAGAGATGCAGCACAGTCTCTAAACAACATATTTAGAAGAGGGAAGTAGTTTGCTCTTTGTACCATGTATCTTGAGAAGGCGTTTGTGCTGCTGAATAATTGCCACACTTTATTGTATAAGATAGGTTTATCCATACAGCACTGCTTCTGATATTGATGTTCTTTCAAGGTCTCAAGTGAGAGCTACGACTGGTGCATATATTTATATATCAAATGACTGCACTTGCAGGTCTATCATGTGTTCTATCTGTCTAGCGCTCTGGGAATAAGTGACTGCCCCAAGTACCCCTATCCGCACTGTTTAAGTATTCTGCTCACACGTGTGCATGTTCTTATGCAGCCAGCTAGGCCTCGCTGTCTCATTTGCCTAATAAATCATCGGTCTTTCTACAAGTGCCACCAGAGCTAATGGGAACATAGTTCCCCTTCTGGGATGCACCTTGTAAAGCAGACTGTAAAAATGCAACGCACAGGATTTCATACTAGAACACAGTGGTCTACATTATTTGGGGTGGCAGAGTGTGAATAAGAAAACACAAAAACAAAGACAGATTGGTATAAATGGCAAAGATACTCTGATATGCTACTTTGCTTTAAATAGTAAAGCACTTCTTGCTGTCATCTTTTTTATTCCAAAATATCTCCAATCCCCAGAGAGACAAAGGAACTTAGCATATTCGCATCCCGCCTTGCTCCTCAGCCTCCATTTGCTACTGCTATTTCACAGTTGGCTAAACTATACAGAGAAGTATGCGGGGAAAGCAAAAGCCCAACAAATAGCCCCCA